ATAGAGGATGTGCTTCAAGTGTCTTTTCTCTAGAGGACTCAAGAAGACCATGTTTTTTTGTAAATTTGTTGATTTGGAAGCTTTGACCAGATGGATGGTGAAAGTTTTGGGTCATGGGACGGAATCTGACAGGAACAGATGCCAACCCACCTGAAACCACCCCCATTTAGGTAAAAGTGCAAATCTCACGGAGCGTCAGGGTATACTTTGCTAGCGCGAGGAATTAGGTGGTGTGACATGGTGGCTCCGGCTTTGGTCTTGTCGGACGACGGAACATGATACAAGGCCATAGCTCTAGCCTTCCCTAGTTGACTTCCCGACATTCCACTGAAGTCTCATCGGCATGGTCGCAGTGTGACAGCTCTGACAAAGCTGTTATAAAGTGTGTATATTATAAACAATAATAGTTATTGTATGTAACCCCCAATCTGAACCTCGAGTACAAGTTCCATGAGTCTGCACTAATTAGTCTCCGTGAATATCAATTCTAGCAAGAGTTCCTGTGAACCACAAGGCTTCGGCTATTGAAACTGGCTTTGAATGTCAACTGCTCTGCGTTTCCGGTGACACGTTAAAACACCAAGGTCGTCACCACGTCGGTGTCTTCCAAGGACGTGAACCTGGGGCGTTGTGAACGGTCCACGCGTTTTGGATGCGATTTTCGAAGGGTTTTTGGTCGCAAAGAACCCGCAGTCGCCTGCAGTTTGGCATCAGTGAGAGACATGTTGAGACATTTGGGCAGTTCGCCATCATGAGCCCCTACAAGTCACACAAGTTGTTGATAACTATATACATATGTATATATTTCTTTATGAGCACAGGGCGTTTGGAGGACTTGGGTGTTTCTTTGGAAACAAACAAATACATCCTCCAATCAGCAAGCTTGAAATCGAGATCTTGGTCCAGCATTCATGCTTTACAGAAGCATGGAATGATGGTCCCCGTCAAATGGATCCAAGTTTTCCTTCTGAATTTCTCGAAGCTTCAAGTGGCAAAGTCATAATGATCCGAAGATCTCCCCGCTCGCGCTTTTCTTGGAGAAATTAGCAGTTCTCACGTAGAGTTTCTAAGTCAAGTGTCCTTGCAGGGCGGCCACCCATTGCACTATAATAAATGAAAGTAGCAAAGCGTGCGTCAATCACTGACAACCTCCTCAAATATTCAAGGTGGCTGCAATTCCTAACACGCCGATCACTTTCATAGTTCCAATTTCTGGGGGCCACCCTGTCCCTAAACCAAAGTAATGCACATCCTCAACCACAGTTTTCACTGAGCTGTTGAGAAAGTGCTGGAGTCAGTTCTTCTGCTCCAATACAGCGCTGGGTAGGGGAGCTAGGTGCTGCTCGATCAGCGTTCCATCAATGAATCAGGACGAAGTCACTTCTCTCTACAAGACCGATATGGACAAAGCCATGCAGTTGACAAAAAGCCATGAATAGCAGGGGGATTGCGGCTGTTCAAAAAATAAACAAGATGGAGCCCACGAACCCGAATGCAAACACGTTCGAAAAGCTAGATATGTCCAAATGACACTCTTGTAGGACACTCGTGTGGGACACTCTTGTGGGTCACTCTTGTAGGAAACTCTTGTGGGACACTCTTACGGGACACTCTTATGGGATTCCCTTGTAGGAAACTCTTGTAGGACACTCTTGTGGGACACTCTTGTAGGACACTCTTGTCGGACACTCTTGTAGGAAACTCTTGTGGGACACTCTTGTGGGACACTCTTGTAGGAAACTCTTGT